AGTCATTGCGCTTTGTAGTTTCTCACTCTTGAGAGACACTAGAAGATGCATCTGATGAAAGCCGCGTGGGCAAGAGGCTGCTCCAGGAGAGGGCGAAGGAAACTCCGTGGGTTTCAGAGGTTTTCCTTCATGGGCCTGATGGCAAATATGATTACGTATTTGCCAGCGACTCTTCTGTCCAGGTCTGGGTGGGGCAGCTTCTGACCTGCTGGAGACAGAGCCTGGCCCTTAAGGGGCCTGTGCTCCAGCGAGACCCAGAGACGCATCAGGCAGGGCAGAGGGTCTGGATGCAGGAGGAAAGAAGCCAAATGCAGAGCTCCTGGGTGGCATTTCCCTGAGGAGACTAAGGGGCTCCTGATGTGGAAGCTGCAGCCCAGGTGGCCAGGATGGCGTCCCAGGAGGGGGCCCTGCATGGGCAGAGGTGGGAGTGCACGCACTTATTGGGGAAACTTTAAGCAACTAAGGAGCAAATGAGGAGGCCAGGTTTCGTGGGCTCATGCTGCTGAGCGAACAACACAAGCAGAAAAGCTCTCGACCACCCACCTGGGCTGTCTGCAGTGGCCCATAAGCTAGGAGGCCAACTGGGAGAGTCCGGGGGGTGAGGGACTGGTGGCTTACTCCATGAGGACTTGGGGGTGAGGAAGCACCCAGTGCAGGGGTTAAAGCACAGAACACCCAGAAGGGGTGGTGAAGTTGAAGGAAGAAAGGGTCCTTTTTGTTGGGTTTTTGGGCGGAAAGACACCCTGGTGTGGGTGTGGAGGCCAAAGATGAAACAGTGGCAGAGACAGAGTGCAGAGGCCCGAAACCGGATGATTCATGGAGCAGGTTCTTGATGCAAACAGGGAGCTTTGGACTCTGAATCCACATTCTCTTTTTTTCTATATAAACACATTCCATTTTAGAGTGGATTTGGATCTATAAAAAATGGCAAAGATCGTAATTGCATAGAGATTTATCTCTACTCCTCTCTGGTTCTGCTGTTGTTAAAGTCTTAGGTTACCGTCTTACATCCCTCGCCAAGACACCAGTGTGGGTACATTGCTGTGAACTAACTGGATGATCTGGGCTTTGCTCCTTGTTCCAGCAATGCCCTGGATCCCATCCACACCACAGGACGCGTGGTGTCTGTCTGCTTCATCACTCTGGTCTGTGACCATGTCTGTCTTTTTGCTCGTTGCTCATGACCTTGATGCTTTGAAAAGTACTGAGCAGGTATTTTGTAGAATGGCCTCAAGTTAGGCCATCACCCATCTCCTACAAAAAAATGAATGGGCATGAAGAAATTTAAAAAAAAAAAAAAAAACAGTGGGGAGAAACTATCCTTTTTCTCCCTGAGCTCTAGAATGCATGGGCCATTTCTGGCCCAGAGATAGAGGAGGTTTTCCCAGCAAAACCAGCACCCCTCCCTTTGGCTTTAACTAGACATGGGGTGAGGTGGCATAGCAGGCTGGGAGCAGAACCACGGGGCTTCTTCTCTCCACACGAGACAGGTGGGTGATCATAGGCAGGTCACTGCCCTCTTTCAGGAGTCCTGCAATCTGGGCATTGTTCAGTGGAGCGCCTGCAGCCCATCCTCTGGGGTCCTGTTGTTACAGGGCAACCCCGATATAAAACGGGTTGCCTGACTGGATGGGCAAGAACGGGTGACGGCAGCCATGGCAGGTACGTGGCCAACATCCTTGCCACGCGTCAGTTAATGAACCCGGAATGGAACCATCCACTTCTTGGCCTCCCAGGCCCCTGTTTTCTTGTTTTATGGAGTCCCTTAATAATTGGCTTGGAGCCCATGCTTCCAGAGGTTACAGTCTCTGTGGTTGTAGCAGGTCCCCATTTCATTTCTGCTCTGTTCAGCTGGCTGTGGAGCCCCTCAATGCCACACCAACACAGGAGTCTCCTGGGAGCCAGGATTAGGTGCTGCCCATCACACACCTCCCCGGCCTGTGGCCCCAGCCAACTGCAGCAGTGTCTTCAGCAGCAGAACAGAAAATGGGGCAGCCGATGGCTTACACAGCATCGCCTCGGGCCAATTAAGTCAGTAACTCCCTCAGCAGAGGCAGCACGCCTCTTCCTCTGATTTTTGTGAACACAATGCTCCCAGCCCTGCCCTTACCCCGCCCTACCCTCTGGGATCCTTGAACCTTCCGCCTCTCCTGTGTATAGCCTTGTCCTTAGACCTGGGTAAGACCTAAAGCAGGTCCCCCTCTGGTTCCAGTTCTCTAACCCACTGTCCCTTTTGCCACCTGTAGCTACAGGTAGGAGAAATGACAGGACTTCTACCAACAGGCACAGGATCCTTGAACTACAGAAGAGAGAGGCCTGGCCATTAGAAGTTAGCATTGGGTGCCTGTCGTTACCCCAATGTGGCCTCCTCCCCACAGAAACCCAGCTCCTACCCAGGAGATGCTTCTGTGCAAAGTTTCACTTTCCACCTTTTTCTATAGCTTATTCTTTGGCACGGGTTGCTTTTATTCTTTCTCATGGAGACCTGTTGAGGAGTTTTTCTGGCAAAGTGTTAGGTGAGTAACTTTATCAACAGGGGAGATAAGATGACTTGAGGTTAATTCTTTGATAAGCACAATCTAGAGCAGAAAGGACGGTGAAGGACACTGCCTCTCTCAGTTCCAGGTGCTGTCAGCAACAGCAGCTCCGAGATGAAGGCAGGGCCGAGGAGAAGGTGTGTGGCCAAGTGCTGATTAAGACTTAGAACTACCTGCCAGCTTTGGGGTTTTCAGGTTAACACTATCAATTCCCAAAGGAAGCCAGTGGCCTCAGTCTGCCATGCTCTACAGGTCTGATTGTGCCTGCATGGATTAGGCAGAGGGTAAAGATAAGACCCCAGGGGATCTGGGTTAGGCCTGCCCACCTTAGAGTCCAGCACCCAGTGTAGGGATGTCCACATCAACCCTACCAGTGCCCCCAGCCCAACAGCCATGTTCCTGAATCGGGCGTCCAGGCTGCGGGCAGGGAAGCACTGTTACTTATGTCCCACAAGCCAGGCTCTGCTGTCCTTGGACTAGGCCAGGAGACCCTCACTCACTTGGCTTTTGTTGTTATGTAGAAGGAAAACATTGCTCCTTCATTTGAACCCCCAACTCTGGCTCATTTTAACTCTAGAGTCTCTGCTTCTTCAAACCTGGCATTCATGAGTTTTTCTTTTCTACATTGTCCAGCCCCAGGGCCTTGACATTGTGTGGCTCTTACTGAGGGTTGGCATTGCCTTACTTAAGTCAAGGACTGAAAAGCCATTGAATCACTCCACGCTGAATCACTCCGCGCTGCCATGCTGCGCGGATTACCTGAGAGCTGACAGCCATTCTCACAAAAATCCATTGGGCAGCTCCTTCTATATGATCTATAACTTCTAAGGAACCCACCAATGTATAATAGGTTTCAACATGTAATATAATCTCCTTTATTCTTGGACCATACTTAAAAGCCAAGGAAGGGGGCCGCAGCTCACCCTTCCTGGTTTACAGGTAGGGCAACTGAAGCAACAGAACTCGAAGCCAGGACATCCAGACCCTTGCTCTGGAAACACCATAGTGAATGTAGACAAAGTTTTGACTCTACTGTAAATTGGAATCCTTCTCCACTGCCGCCAGCCCCTGTCCTCACTGTGTGTCCCAACCCAACGCCAAGTCATGGGGAAGTGAAGAGCAAAGAAGGAAAGAAAGAGACACCTGTCCACACATGGACTCCTGGGACAGAGAACCAGGCTCCCTGAAGAACAGGGGTCTGACATAGGCGCCTCTGTTGAGGAGGGTGGACCAGTGAAACTTGAGGCCTGGGCGTTGGCCCAGAGCCCACCCTCTCGCGCGTCCAGCCGGCCCCTGCGCTGCAGCCTGTGAGTCACCTCCCAGCGAGCCCTGGTACCAGCAGCGAGGAGCTCAGCTGGCATTGGGGGTGATGGAGCGGTGGGGAGGGGAGCTTGGCAAGAGGCATCTGGTTCATCAGTGCCAGGCCAGGAGTTGGCACTCCATTCTGTTCCTTATTAGGAAAGACTGCCCTTAAGGGTCCCGCATCTCAGCTTGCCTACCTGTAAAATGGGATTGTCGTTAAATCATAGGATTGGAAGGTGGTTTGGAAGTTTCTTGTCTGATGCTTGTTGGGGTCACTTCTAAGGACGCAGGCTGGTCCACTTATAAGGATCCCCTGTGTGAAGAGGGAAAAGGACCAGAGGTGACTACTTAGGGGATGCTCTGATTGTCCCTTTACTGAGCAGCGTGGTTTGATGAGGAATCCCAGATGCCTTCATTGGTGCTTCGAGCAACTTTTACATTTTTTTATTGTATGGTAGACACACAGTTTAAAGAATCATGAAATGAAAATCCCTGTCACCACCACCCAAGTCAAAAACTAGATCACTGGGCCTCCCCGGTGGCGCAGCGGTTGAGCACTGGGTTGTGAAGCTGCCCGCAGCCTCTGCAGCGCCGGTTCGATCCCTGGCTGCTTCCCGGCCATCAGAGGAGGGTCCCACATGGCGCATAGACCTCTCCTGCCACCCGCTGCTCCCCTCAGCAGTGTGCTTTGGTTCTTCTGCCTGCTCTGCTCCTCACTCTGGCTCTGGTGAATTCTCTCGTCCTCCCGCGCTTCTGACTGTACCCAGTGCTTGTATAAATAAATAAATAAAAATAAATAAATAAATAAATAAATCTTTTAAAAAAAAAACTAAAACTAATACACTGCCAGCGCCCTAGATCACCTTTTAAGTGTTTGGTATCATATTTTATGTGTTCTGTAGCTTTTGCTTCTTTGGTTTAGCATCATGAGATGCATTCACAGGATTGCATGAAGCTACAAGTCATCCATTTTCACTGCTGCATAGTATTCTGTTGTTCATAAGGTATCTGTTCCACCACTGTGGTAGATAATGGTTTATTCCCAACTGGCAGGTGCATGGCAGGACACAGACACTGAGGATGTCTCAAAGTCCTTTGCAAGTCTCACCCTTCAACTCTGTGGCAATCAGGACTAATGCCCTCATTCTGTATGTCTTGCAGCTCGCTGGGATTGCGGTCCTCGCCATTGGGCTATGGCTGCGATTCGACTCTCAGACCAAGACCATCTTCGAGCAAGAAGATAATCATTCCAAATTCTACACAGGTGAGGCGGGGAGATGCGGCGCTTCCTTCAAGGGTGGAGGTTCTGTGTTAATCCAGGGCCTCAGCCTTTCGGAAGCCTTTTGCCCTGGCCATGCTGGTCAGCTATGGCCCTTTACAGCCATGCTTGTGTGGAGTTGTGCCCAAGAATTTGCATTTGACTGATGTGATTTTTTTTTTTTTTTCCATGCTGACTAAGTCTGGCATTTTGACCACTCTCTGATGTGACTTTGGCTCTGCCAGAGTGGCTGATGCTTTTGAGGGTTCCTCTGTTCTCATCCTTGGGCCTGTCAATTTCATGTCTTCTTAGGTTTTAGCATTCTCTTAATTTATTTATTTTTTTTTTAAGATGAGGGGTTTTTTTTGTTTTGTTTTGTTTTTTATACAAGCACTGGGTACAGTCAGAAGCATGGGAGGGTGAGAGAATTCACCAGAGCCAGAGCGGGGAACAGAACAGGAAAACTGCTGAGGGGAGCAGCAGGAGAGATCTGCGCGCCATGTGGGACCCTCGCCGGTGGCCAGGGATCGAACCAGTGCTGCAGAGGCCACGGCAGCTTCGCAGCCCAGCGCTCAACCGCTGCGCCACCAGGGGAGACCCCATTCCCTTAATTTAAACATTTTATCCTGGCGATTCGCAGTGCCAGGAAAAGGAGAGATGATGGTCCCCCACTGTTCAGAGGGAGACTCTGAGACCCAAAGACCGCCCTCCTGGAAAGACAATCACAATGAATAGAGGCTGGAAGAAACACAGCCCTTGGGCCCTGATACTAGTGTAATACCTTGGGCGTTTCCTGTCCCTAAAGTGCTTTTGCTTCACAGCAAAGCTCTCCAGCTGGTTTAGACGAAGGTAGACTTAGCAGGTTTCTCCTTCACTCAGGCTCCTTGGCTCCTGCTCTATCTGTCCCTTTCCGTTGTCTCATCATGTAAACGCCAAGGCCTGTCGAAGGCAATCCCCCCATTTCTGAATCAGCACACACTCCGTGGGTGGCTCTCTGTCTACCTAGTTTGGGGATAAGGAAACTTCATTTTCGAGAAACGTTAAGAATCGCCCTATTTTTAGAATGGTGTTGTACTGTCATCAGACTCAAAGTTAAGTGTGGTCACTTCCTGCCCTCCCACCAAAGAAGTTATTTTTACAAAGTCAGAAAACAGCTTGCAGTGGGTTATCACCCAGGCCTTCAGGAAGAACGTGGTGACTAGTCAGCCGCACTACCCGCCCATCCCGCCTCCCAGAGGCCAGATTGGAGTGGACTGAACAGTCACATGGCACCAGGGCCCTGTGGATAGCTTGTTAACTTTTATTGCTTATTGGTGGTTGGGGTTTTTTTAGGGTGTGTCTCCCTATTGTCAGAAAGAAAATGAGGGGGAATAAAGCACAATGTATGTGTGTGTTTGTTTTTTTTTTTTTAAACTACACACGCACACACAGTTTTAGGGAGCAGGTTTCCATAGTGCCCTGGCTTGTTGTAGCAACAGTGTTTATGTGTGTGTGAGTGTGCAGCAGGCCTGGAATGCCGCCTGTAGGGCTGCAGCAGTGGGGCAGGCGCTGAGGGGAGGTTCGAGCCCTCCATGTCACGTTACACCAGAGACCCGTGACCCCTCCTCGGCAGAGAAATCTGGAAGCAGGTGGCATCTGTCTTGGGCAGTTGTCCTAAGAGTGCCCGGCCTCCCCCGGGCTGTCTGCCATTATTCCCTGAAGGGCTCCTGGCTCCACCCAGCCTGGCCGGTCCTAACCACCCAGTTTTCATCTTTTGTTATCTAGGACTTGGGCTTATTCAGTGTATTTTTAGATGTCAAAGGGAAGGATCTTGATAAGTGGGTGGAACTGGGGGGAAGACATATTTTTGAACCCCTGTCCACACATTTTTTTTTTTTTTTAAAGATTTATTTATTTATTTAAGCACTGGGTACAGTCAGAAGCGCGGGAGGGTGAGAGAATTCACCAGAGCAGAGCAGAGCAGGCAGAGGGACCAAAGCACACTGCTGAGGGGAGCAGCGGGCGGCAGGAGAGGTCTGCGCACCATGTGGGACCCTCCTCTGGTGGCCGGAGAGCAGCCGGGGATCGAACCAGCGCTGCAGAGGCCGCACGCAGCTTCGCAGCCCAGTGCTCAACCGCTGCGCCACTGGGGAGGCCCTGTCCACACATTTTATTATACATACATCTAATCCTTGTCACTCTTCAAGGTACATGGAGTAATGCCCATCTCCTAGATGAAGAAATGAAGGCCTAGAGAAGTTTAATCACTTAGCCAGGCTTGTTCTCCTCAAAAGGCAGGAGTAAGATTTGAACTCAGGTCTATGAAAGCTGTATGAGGTCATGGGGGCCTCTCCAGGTAGAAACAGGAATTGTCTCCACTGACTGAGCGTCCTGCGTTGGCAGGGCAGCTTGCAGGCTCTCCTGGCCTTTTGACTTCACCCAAATTGTAGTCTAGGAGAGACAGCTCCAATGCTGGTGACCCTAGCCAGCAAATGACCGAGGGAGAGCCGTGCAGAGTGGCAGGGAGTGATGAGTGCACATTTAGAGGTGTCAGAGTCCCCTTGCAGGATTCAGGCCCCCCGGGTCATTGCAAGACCCCCCGAAGACCAGTGGTGCTACCTGAGGTGATAGGAGGGTGACATAAACACACACTCAAAGTAACACAGCAATCCCTAGTTGGGGGCCAGTGGCCACTGTCCCCTTAGCTCCAACAGAGGAACTGGACCCTTTGTGGCTGAACCCCCCTTCGTGGAAAAGAGCTGAGCTCGGAAAACTTGTTCTGTTTGCAGAAACCCAAGAAATTGAGGCTTATGCAAACAACACGGAAACTTCAGTCAGTTAAATGACCACTTGGGTCTGGCTGGACCCAGCACTTCACTGAGCTCTTGGAGAAACTAAATAATTGTCACCCAGAGCCTTCATTCTCCTTGCCCCCAGGCTGTGAGACCAGCCTTTGACCCATAGCCCTCCCACCTCTGCCCCAGCCTGTGTGTCGACATCAGGGAGTGACTGTCCCCTGCATCAGGGTACTAACCCTCTGCAGAGCAGCCCCCAATCAGCCTGATCATGCTGCTAAAGCTCCAGAAAACCTGAAAGACCCAGTGTAGGGCCACAGCTTTCAAGGCAGAGAAGGAATTCCCAGTTAGGCAGAGACTCGAGAGGGGAAAAAAAACTTTCCAACATTCAGAATGGCGTGTAGTGAGTCCAGAACAGCTGACGGCCTTATATGGGCCTTCTCTCCAATTCAAGCCCTGGGAGATTCAGCCTGTCAGCGGTGTCCACAATCTCAGGCTGCAAACAAGCTGGGGAACTTCATTTTCTTAATCCCACGCCAGCAGTCCTTCTTAACCCCTTAGTGTCCTTTAGAACTGTAGCCACTGAATGGGGCACCTGGGGACTCCAGTTGGGAGTTTCAGATGTCACCCTGACCCTGGTGAATTCCAGGAAGTACAGCCTTTTCCCTCAGTGAGCTGCCTTGTTTCCTCACTGTGTCTCCTGTTCCCCATGAAACTGGCAGAGCTCATACCCACACCTCCCCGCCCCTGGCAGGCAGAGTCCACTATGTCGCTCACTCACAAGACCAGCTATCACGGGACACAGAGCAACCAAGAGAGCGTTGGCAAGCAGAGTTAGGGTCCCTTCGAACCCCTGATTAAGTTGTTAGAGATAATAAACTGTTCTGAGCAAGTGGAGGCCCAGAAGTTAGACCAGATTTTGCTCACACAAACAGGAGTGGCCAGTGCTATTTGCCAGTTGGGGGTGGGGTAGGGACAGGAGGCTGATGTGTCCACCCCCCAGCCAAGATCCAGCACCCCGATAAATAGGTGAACAGGAATGCTTCATTTTTCATGTAAAAGGTTCACTGGCATATGCTGCTGCTACACCAAATACTTTTTTTTTTGGACTCAGCCCATAATGTCAGTCTGAAAAAAGCAGAATAAACAGCCCTTAAGCAAATTAATACAGTAATCCTAGAGAAGGCTCCGTGACGAATAACTTTTTCCATGAGTCAGACAGAAAGCTAACATTCACTTGTTTTATAAAGGGGAATGCTTTGTCATTTATCATCTCAGGCTTACAAGTCTGAATGTTGGCTGGGAGGGGCCTTTTCAAGGGGAAGCTCTTGATGGCCCTTGCACGCAGCAGCCCAGGCCCTGTGTGGTTCCGTGGCTTCCAGGGGGCTGCGTCCAGGTGAGCCCCCACCCACCCGTGGCTTCATGGCTGCTGCTAAAATCCCCATAAGCAGCTGCCAGGGAAATGCTTGTCTTCCTCCCTGGCTGGAGAGCGAAGCCGAGACACCCGGATCTGCAGCTGTCCGAACAAGATTTAAAGCCAGCAAGATCCTTTGTGCTCAAATCTTGTCTGCTGAGTCCTGGAATGAATATTTAATATTAACCGAGAGGCCCATTAAGGAGAATGTTCCCTGGCTGCCTGGGAAGTGCTTTTACCTTTCGTAGCTCATTTTTGCTGCTGACCCACCTCTCTGACTTCTGCCACCGTTGCCAGGGTTTATGAACTGCGATCTGGACTTTGAGAAAATATGTCTTTCTGTTCTTCGCCACTTGACTCTATTTCATGTGCTTGTAAATCCTTTTGATCTCTTAATATGCCCTATTTATTCAGCCCCTGCTCTGGAACTCAGACCAGTGATCTCAGCCTTTGCTGTCTTGGGGAGATGAAATGGGGAGAAATCAGGGCCATTTTACCGCCTCCGTTCAGCCCTAAGGGAGACTGCCCCCCACCCCACACGCCTGTGTGTGGGGCTGCACTGCCGACCCGAGTCTGTGGTCCCGCGGTGTTGCACTGCCCAGAAGGATGGGACCTGACTGGAGGACAAGCTGCATTTGTCTCCTTGCCCAGTCTGGGCTGGGTGTGTTCAGGAACAATACCCATATTCATGCAACTTCGGGGTTTGCCAACAAACCCACGTGATTTGACATCACGACAGATGTGGGGGGAAAGGGGAGAGGGACAAATGTTCCCTTGTGTGTGCTCTGCTCCGTGCCGCCCGTGAGCCTCAGCTGCAGGCAGACTGCCCGATTTGTTGCCTCCCAAACCTAGCCCCGCACTGAGGGGACAGATGTGAGACAGTGAAGTCACTGTGACACCCGAGGGCTCTCAGTGCAGTGTGCTGGGGTGTTGTGCATTGTAGGGTCACCTCACAGAGGCCCACTTACTTTCAGCCCCGACTTCCAGGGAGTCTCCCTGGTCCGTGGAAGGGAGGAAGCAGCCAATGTATACCCTTCGTCACTATGACTCTTCAGAACTGTCATGGACCCGCTGTGTCCTGAGCACCAGCAGTAGCAGCATTTGCTGTGCACATTGAGTTTCTGTCACTTCCTCAGACAGACCTTGCCATCAGCATGGTTGCCATCCCTGCCTTGCAGGTAGAAAACTTACACAGAGATGAAGTGGCTGTCTCAGGGTCACTGAGCTGGCTTTGAAACCCACACATTCTGGGCTGCCAAGCAGGTGCTCTCAACATGGGACTTGGCCCCTCCCAAGGGCCCTGCCCGTTTTCCATGGAGCCTGTGTGTTGGGAAGCCGGGTCCAGGAGATCCCCTCAGGTCAGCTGTGACTTCTAAGGAACACAGCCACAGCATGAGCCTCTCTGGGTGTTCCCTGGCCAAGTGTGGGATGCCTTGGCCAGCGTGCTCATGGTCCCATCCCATCCAGTTGGCCACAGGCAGGAGTTGTTGAAGTCACTGGCGTCCTACACATCCCCTCCCTCCTCAGACATTAATTTTGAGAGCTTAGAAACGTGTCACCCACATTCCCTTTCACAAGGAGGAGCCCCCCCAGCCCCTAACCTGAAGTAACTGAATTGCAATTATAAGATTTCTAGTATTTTGTAAGGGGTCTTCTGGAATTTCCTAAGCAACCAACCTCTCATTTCACTGATAAGGAAATTGAGACCCAGAGAGGGACTGTGTCTAACCCAGCAGTTAGTAGCAGAGCTGCTACCAAAACTAGGCTCATCCGAAACCCAGGCTTGTGTTCTGTGCTCTAGAACCTTTGCCAGTATGTGCCCTTGGGTACTCCTATCCCCATGCCTAACTGCTACCAGGCAGCAGAGTGGGGAGACTTCCCTCTGAAAATCAAACACAGCTTCCCCCCGGAACATGCATGTCTAGGAGAGTACACCACCCAGGCCTGCTCACGGCATCTCTGACTGCCCCTTCTAGCAGGTGGAGGCCAGTGGGAGGCGTATCAGAGTTGCAGGAAATTAGCCCAGGAGGGTCTGTGTTAAGTAGCGTGCGTGGATTCACCTTGCTAATAACAGCTGGACACACTGGACCAGTTTATGTCCAGAGTAGACTTTGGAGGATCCCATGCACCTAGATGATGAGGTGATGGATATCTTCCAGAAAAACTGAGGGTAAAGATAAATTAAGGCTTGCTGGACCTGGGCCCTAGAAGAGAGACTGATAGAAAGGAGATAACAGAGCAGAGGTGGTGGAAGCTGTTTATAAGGATGGATACTTCTTCCCATCCACAGCATCTTACAGTAGGTAAAGGAATTGTAGGATGTATCTGGGCTCCCACACTAATGTCTCCATGTCTCGTCCTCTGTGCTCTCCCCACAGGAATTTACATTCTGATTGGCGCCGGTGCCCTCATGATGCTGGTGGGGTTCCTGGGCTGCTGTGGAGCAGTACAGGAGTCCCAATGCATGCTGGGATTGGTGAGTGTCCCCTCTGTGTTCCCCACAGTCACTCTGACTCCTGGCATCTGTGCCCCCAAGATTTCAAGGGGCCCACGTCCATACAACAGATGGGGTAGGGTGAGGTGAAAAGAGTACCCAAAGGGCACGAGCTATCGTCAGCCTTCCTGGTGTCTCTGTGCTCTGGGCCCTGCCCTGGCCTCCTAACCAGGCAGCCATCTTGTCTCCTCCCCGGTAGTCATGCCTTGCTCCTCTTCCTTTCTGGATCCTGTCTATCTTATCACTTTCCTCCAGCCACTAAATGCCAACACTTTGTTTTCTCCTTTTTTGAAGCCCACAGTGGCTTTTTTCCCCCTGAAAAGCTACCACAGGTACCTTCCTTTGCCTTCTCTTCTTGTTTCAGTTTTCCTCAGACTCCAGAGCCTATTCACTTCTTTATATCCTCAGATCTCTGTGAGTCTCGTGAGTGAGCAATGGTATTTTATCACTGACTGACTCTTCATAATTAATACCTCTGCAATACCAGCTCTGAGGTCTGTTCAGCCCTTTCTTCTCCTTCCACACTATTCACTCCTTGCCTTGGCTTAGTTCTCACAGTTCTGTAAACAACTTCTCCGCCTGTGTGCCCAGTCCCCAGAGAGTTGTCATTCTTCCTTATTCCTCAAAATACGCTTTGATTTTTTTTTTTTTTTTGGATTGGCTGACTGGGATTGTCTCTCACTCCACCCCCTCTTCGCCTTCTAGTTCTTCGGCTTCCTCTTGGTGATATTTGCCATTGAAATAGCCGCGGCCATCTGGGGATACTCCCACAAAGATGAGGTAGGTTTTTCCCGTAAGGTCTCTTGGCACCTGGAATGATGAGGGTCTGGAGTTGGGGCTTGAGCATTGGTGGTTGATGTCCTGGCTGGTCACTTGTGTCAGCCTTCAACCAGCAGACTTGCCTCTACTTCACCACATTGCCACATACCCATCAGGATATGAGCAAGGAGGGCAGTGAATGTGAGTGCTGCCATGCTGCCTAATGCCAACCATTGCTTCCAGTTCACTGAACAGGGCTGGCACATGGAAGCTCAGGAGAGTCAGAGTGTGTGTGTGTGTGTGTGTGTGTGTGTGTGTGTGTTGTGTGGCACCTCAGCGGCCTCCGTTCTCCCCTGAATGTTGGCTTTCTATGGCTGGGCACCCTTGCTCCTTCACATCATCTCTGTGTCCCACCCTCAGCCAAGTGCTGTGCCAGACTCTCTCGAGGGTCTGGAGATGCGAGAGCTGTGGCCCCCACTACAAGAACTTTGCCCTCTAGTGCGGGAAAGAGACATGCATTTGATAAGTATCCTAGAAGTGATTTCTAGCCAAAAACCCCATGGGCTTTCAGGGGACCAGGGTGGGAGTCTTTCCTAGGAAAGGTGACATTGACCTAAACCCTCAACAAAAGATGGTGTATCAGGAGGATAGTTAGTGGGAGGCAGGGAACTTCCGGGGCAAAGATGGGTCTGCTGAGGAGTGGTCTGGGGTGGACTGTTTCACAACAGTGCTTTAGCACTATTTCCTCTGTTCTGTAATGACAGCTAATATTTCCTGCAAAGCTGTTCTCCCAACACTGTATATAAGGACTTCGCATGCAGTGTCTTTCACATGCTCACAGTCACCTGTGCAGTAGGGAGTGTGACAATCCCCAGCCGGCATGTACAGAAAGTGATGGACAGAGACTTAGTCATTTGCCAAAAGTCATACCCTCTCTGCATCAGGAAACAAAAAGGAGGGAAGCCTGAGGAAATAGCCAGGTCAGGAATAGAGCTTGGGGGCTGTTTTTTATTTATGTATTTTAATTTTGAGGTTGTGTTGCTTTGTTGTTTTTTAATTCTTTGCATTGAGGAGATTCCATCTTGCTCATAGGTAGAAGGGCAGACACCAGGTGGGGCTGGAAGGACCCACCAAAGTTGCAGGAGAAGAAGGGAGAACAGCTACAGGAGGCTCCTAGTGGAGGGGGAGGTGGGAGGCCCGGGGCCTGGGAGAGGCAATCCTCATCTGGTGGCTTCTGTCTGTCCAGTGACATTTCCCAAGCCTAAGTTAGATGGACACGTGACATTTGTTCATGAAAGGCCATCTCCACTGCGGTCTTGTCTGTCCATCCTAGGTGATCAAGCAACTCCAGGACTTTTACAGGGATGCCTACGAGAAGCTGAGAAACAAGGAAGAGGCCAAGAAGGAGACGCTGAAAGCCATCCACTACGCGGTGAGTCCTGTCTGCCCAGGCACTTCTGCAGACCCACCCCCGTGTAGCTCTATCTCGATTGTGTTAACATTTCTCTCACCCCCACCCCACCCTCCTCTCTGCAGTTGAAATGCTGTGGTGTGGTTGGAGGCGTGGAGCAATTTATCTCGGATATCTGCCCCGAAAAGTCAGTTTTAGAAAGCTTCACGGTAAAGGTAAGCCTGTGAATAAGACTGCAGTGCTGTTACACTGGGAAGATCCGGTCAGGTTGGAGGTGAAGTCTTGTGCCAGCAGGACAGGCATCCGGGCTTCATAAATAGCCCCTCCACCAGTAGGCATGCCCCTTTTTCCCTGCCCTGGGACCTCTGTTTCCACAAGAGCAGCAAAACAAAGGCCAGACCCCGGCAATAACAGTGTTCGTGCTGCACCCTGCGGTCACTCAGCAGCTAAGCTGCCTGCTGCCCCATGTTCCGCCTCCCCCAGCCCTCAAGCCCCTTGAGGATAGGCTTGCCCTGGCGCCTGCACTCCTGCTCTCCAGATTTGTAAATAGTTGATGATTGCAAACTAGAGCTAATGTCCAAACTCCAGAATAATAGTAAGTAACCCTACAGCCAAATAAGAGACCCCAGAGTAGGATCTGATCCCTGTTCCTTCCCTGATTTCTTGCCCAAATTTTAGTGACCAACCTCCCCTATCTCACCTTCACGCTCCTTTCCATCCACCAGCCAAGACACCTTAACACTCCTGTCCCCGACCCTTTCTCTGTCACCACCAGTGGTCTCGGTGTGAAATGGGTGATGTGGGAGGGAATTGGGGCATCTGGAGTGGGGCTTAGTCTGACCTGGGTCTTGGTTTGCCCCTAAGTCTTGCCCTGATGCCATCAAAGAGGTCTTCGACAACAAATTCCACATCATCGGTGCGGTGGGCATCGGGATTGCGGTGGTGATGGTGAGTGTTTAGACGTGGAAGGGATTGGGCCTCATAGTCGAGAGGTGCCTGCTCTGGCCAGGCCCTGCATAAGTGCTGCAGATCCACCACTCATTCACTCCTTGTCACCCTGGAGGTGGGACCTATCAGGAGCCCTAACTTTACAAACTTGGGAAAGTTGAGAGGCAGAGATTAAGTGGGTTATAGTCTGAGCTCCTAAATCTGAACTCAGTGGGTTTCCAGCGTGTGTTCTCTTCATCACTAAGTTGCAGGAGTAAATGTAAGGAGTAGTGAGGCTGTGGAGCACCCAGACCTAAAAGTTATCCTGGGGTCATCTTCAGAACATGTGTTCCTCAGGCACCTGATTTTCTTGTCCCCAAGAAAGTAGTTCAGTGAAAGCTACCTGGATGTGAACTGTCTCACATTCCCCCACCCACCCAGTGTGAAAGGCACCCAAAGGTGGACAGCCAGAAGGAAGAAGGGAGGCTTCAAATAATCAGCCCTGAAAAATCATCAAGGACCAATAGCTTCCCTGGGGCCACCCTGTCTTTCCCCATGAGGGAGTGATGAGAAGCCTGTAGGGGTCACAGCCCTCCTCTGCCCCTCGTATAACTATTCCCAGAAGAGAATTGCTTCTTTTCTTAGTGATATTTGCACTCCCCACCTGCATCTAAGAAAGACTTGAAGCAGTATTCGGAGACCTAACAATTCCTTTTACTATAAACTATAAAGCGCACACATGCACAAAAGTGCTAGTAGCCTCTATGGGCTATTGCAGTATTTGGAACTTGAGCGTTAAATCTCAAATTTGTTTCACCCTAGAGTTCTCCAGGGAAGTAACCTCTGCAGCTTGGTTAGCAAATGGCTGCAGGCTGTCAGCCCCCTCATCAGTCCGAGAACCTTCCTCTTGTCTGACCCACATTTCCTGCTTCAGTGCCCTTAACTCCTTTGGCCACTGGACACCATTCTCCTTGTTTTTTGTCTTGGCCTGAATGACTCCTATCTCTCCTCCCTCGGCCCTCCCACGGCACCACCAGGCTGTTCCTCACCTTCCTTCCTTTCTTGCAGATATTTGGCATGATCTTCAGTATGATCCTGTGCTGTGCCATCCGCAGGAGCCGGGAGATGGTCTAGAGTCAGCTTGTAACCCTGAGCAGGAGAACGTACCCTTGAAGATGTTTTAGTATTTTCTCGGGTTTGGGATTTTGTTTTGTTTTTGTTTTTGGGTGGGTTTTTTGTTGGGTTTTTTTTTTTTGTTTTTTTTTTTTTGTTTTGTTTTGTTTTTTGCCACTAATTTTAGTATTCACTCTGCATTTCTAAACCAAAAAAAAAAAGTTATTTTATGTTTGTCTTTGAAATGCTTTTTCCATAGTGATATTTGTAGTTGAGATATTTTGGGATTTAGTTTGCTTTGGTTTATGTATTTTTTTTTTTTTGGTTGTTTGTTTTTACTTATTATATTAAGCAAAAGTCCTGCAATGAAAGGTACTATATTTGCTAGGCTCTAGACAGAAGTTACTGTATATAAAGAGAATTTTTTTTTGTTTTGAAATAGGTTAAAAAAAAATCTATCAAATTTAATCAGGTTGTAACTTATGTTGAAGACAATTTGATACATAATAAAAGACTATATGACAATATTGGTTTTGGTTTTTGGTTTTATCTTCCTTAAGTTTTTTTTTGGTTTCCTTAATTATTTTTTGAGCTATTTTCAAATATCTTTGAACTGATGTTTGTTATAGCTGCATTTATATGAGACGTAGGTTGAAAAATTGGTCTCCCTACTTTACTAATGAGGAAATCATTAGTAAATTATTTCCACAATTTTGCCCACACAATTGTTAATAAAGTCAGTACAAGGGCCTCCCTGGTGGCACAAGGGATTAAGTCTCAGCACTATGAAGCAATCTACAGTCACTGAAGCACAAGTTCAATCCCCGGCCAGGGAGCTACCCACATGGTGCAGCAGACCTCTCCTGCCTTGCCCGCTGCTCCCCTCAATAGTATATTTCAGTCAGTCTGCCTGTTCTGCTCTCCACTCTGTCTCTGGTGAATCCTCTCACCTCCCCCACCTCTGGCCTACACCCCAGCTCTCATATGCACAAATAAATAAACCTTTTTCTAAAAAATCAGGACACCAGTCAGTGTTCAGCACTACTCAACGAGCTAAAGGTGGAAACAGCACAAACGTCCATGGATGGATGGACAGACAGAATGTAGCATACACCTACAATGGAGTAGTATTTATTTGGTCTTAAAAAGGAATTCCAGGGGCCTCCCTGGTGGCACAAGGGGTTAAGGCGCAGCACTATGAAGCTATCTGCAGCCACTGCCACGTGAGTTCAATCCCCAGCCAGGGAGGTGACCCACATGGCACAGCAGACCTCTCCTGTCTCATCTACTGCTCCCCTCCGCAGTGTAGTTTAGTCAATCCGCCTGTTCTGTTCCCCACTCTGTCTCTGGTGAATCCTCTCACCCCCTGCACCTCTGGCCTGTACCCCAGTTCTTGTGTGCATAAATAAATAAATAAATCTTTGGGAAAAAAAAAAAAAGGAATTCCACATAAACAAATGAGTTAAATAAGACAAAAACAGTAGACTTCTTTTTTACTTCTGGATTATTTGCCTTCTAAACTTACATTATAAGAACAAACTCATGGTTACCCAAAGAGAACAAACTCATGGTTACCCAAAGAGAAGGGGGAGAGGAGGTAGTTAAAAGCGTCAGTGGTACAGTGAAGATATAACTGGACTTTTAGTGGTGAGCTTACTGTTGTACATGTTGATTGATAATGATGTACACCTGAAATGTATAATGCAACATCATTTCAATTAAAAAAATACACAAATTAAATACGAACACATACGATAACATGAATAAGTCTTGACATTATACTAAGCAAAATAAGCCAGACGCAAAGGAACCAAAACTACAATTCCATTACCTGAGGTACCTAGAATAGGTGAAATCATAGAGGAAAAGTCGATTAGAGGTAACCAGGGGCTGGGGGAGGGGAAAATAAGGAGTATTGCTTAATGAGGACAGAGTTTCCATTTGGGATGACAGAAAAGTTCTGGAAATGGATGGCAGTGATGGTGCACAGCATTAAAAATGGTTAAAACGGGGCCTACCCAGTGGCGCAGTAGCTTGAGCGCAGTGCTGTGAAGCTGTCCGCAGCCGCTGCAGCGCCGGTTCAATTCCTGGCCGGCCAGGGAGAATCCCACATGGCAAGGCAGACCTCTCCTGTCTCACCCGCTGCTCCCCTCAGCAGTGCCCTCAGTGCGTCTGCCTGTTCTGCTCCCAGCTCTGTCTCTGGTGAATCCTCTCACCCTCCTGCGACTCTGGCCTGTACCCCAGCTCTTGTGTAAATAAAATAAATCTTTAAAAAAAAGGATTAATGTTTTTAAAAAAATGGTTAAAATGGTAAGTTGTTGGTTATGTTTATTTTACCACAATTAAAAAAAATCAGCTGATTGGCCTCCTTGGGCCTTGTTGCCTTGCTCTTTCAAACAAGACACACGGTATGGTTTCAGTTGAGGAAATAGTTAAGCTCTTCATCTTACATGGACTGAATGAGACTAGTAGCTCATGGTCCTGAGCCCTGAACTCCATACCCATATCTTTACCACCCCCACCACACACACCCTGTGGTGCTGCCAGCTCCCTCTAGGAAAAGCAGGTCCATTGCCACAATTTCCACTCCTTGCTTTGTGGCTGACGAGTGGCACCGTCAAAGTCTAGCAGATGCTACTAAGTAACCTGAGGACCACGGATTATACCCTGCCTTTCAGCTCTGTAAATAATGGACCAATGAACCAGCATAAGCAAACACAAACTATTAACACCTTGGTGCCTCATAAAACCTGACAGCCTCAGGAAGGTCCTGGAACGTGGGCAAGGAATGCTGCAGCTCTCCACCAGTGTGCTGTCTGTCCAAAAGGACCCATCCTCTCTACAACCCAAGGTGCCCGGGGTGGGAGAGGGTAGGCCTCAGCTTCTACCTTCCACAGCGACAATGACCACTGGAGAAATCACCTGATCCAGTTTCATATCCATCCCTGTCCAGACAGCTGGCAGGTCAAGGGAAGGGTAGTAAGAACAAACCCCACCCCCACCCCAAGCTGTGGACTGGGTCCAGGACAGAAGAGGAGGCGTCGTCAAGAGCTGGCAGACCAGAAAGAAGCCAACTGGTCCTCACTGGCTTCAAACCAGTTGCCCCAACTTGGCAGACAGGTAGTGTCCCAGAGAAGCTCTGCATTTAATAGAAAGGTCCACAGCTCTCAGGACCCGTAGGGCTTTTAGAGCAAAGACTCTTAGAAGTTTGGGGTTTACAAAAAAGCAACAGTCCCTGCCAGTGGCAACAACAGCTGTGGGCCTAGAAAGACTCCTTGAGGAGAAGATAAGCAGCTGGGTATGCCGGACTCTTGGTTCAACTGGGAAAAGCAGCCCAGAGGAAACAAATTTGACTACAAAGATTTGGACAGTAAAAGGTTATGACTTCACCCGGTGCCTATCAAGAAATGAAAGTGTTTTAAAATTCACAAACTCCTGTATTCTCCTTTCAGGGAACCAGGTCTCAACATCCATGTCCTCTGCAATGGATGGGCTGGGTGGGTTGGGATGGTACAAGATGAAGCCAAGACATCGTTCTCTTGGGCAGGGGGTTTAGCTAGTTCATCAGAATACTCCAGGAATAGAGGAATTTTTTGTTTCAAGTTAGGCTAGGGCATTTCATGAACTTCTTGAGCATAAGATGGAGAAGCCTAGTGGATTTACCCCACTAGGGGTAAATTAGGCATATTCATAGCTGGATGAACAACCCCATCCAGGGAAGATGTCCTGGTGGGCTAGGGAGCCCTGCTTAGCCCTAACTTGATCAATGTTTTAAATGATAACTTGGATTATTGTAAAATATTTTCACAAAACTCTGGAGTACCCATTAATTTTTTTAGTTCCATATTTCTATATTGCCATAACCTTGGTTTACAACACTGTGTGTGATTTAGAGGTAGAGAATCACACATCCTCAGATGCATCTATCCAGTAATTTGGGGAAAATAATTATAATTCAAAGAAATTTCCAGGATCTGGAAAATGAAATATGACACCCAAAGGATGTATCATAACAGGAATAAATAATAAGTCAATGAAATCAAATAACCCATCTAATGTGTTTAGCACAGTCCTGGATCCTTACAACTTTCAAGTTGGTCTCATAAGTTAAATGCATGTTTGGTTAAATTATAGGGGTTTTTCCTTCATATAAGAAGTGTGGAGGCAACCACAGGCTTTAATTTAGTAGCAAGGCACTGTCAGAGATGGCATCTCTGTGATTCTCTTGGCTTGCCTCCATGGTTACAAGGTAGCTGCTGCAGCTCCAACCATCCAACCATCTCTCCATTCCCGGCAGGGAAGTGGAGAAGGCAAATGCCCTAGACAACTATCCTTTCTATCTAAAATGTGAATACTTTCTCCAGCAGATTGGAACTTCTACTTGTGCTTCTTTGATCAGCAATCTGCCATATGAGTGCTTTTAGCTAGAGTGGAGGCTGAGAATATGAGTTTTAGTTTTCCATTCTATAGTGAAAGTGAAAGACTAAGTGAGTTCTGGGTATTTTATTCCATTTTGAAGTTGGAGAACTTGAGGTTCAGAGAAGTTAAATATTTGCCCCAAGATCATACAGTTGATAGACTGGAAACAGATTTGAATACAAGCCTATCTTCCTCTAAACTCTTACTGTCTGTTTCACACAGAGGTGCCGCCCAAGATTGATATCATACGAGGGAATTTAACAAGAAAGTACTGGAACAACTTTTGTTGTTTTATTTTCATTTTATTTTCTGTTATTTTATTTGGAACATCTTTTGATTGAAAAAACTCAGGACGTAAATGCAGGTTGGAGATACAATTTCACTTGGGGGAAGGAAAAAAGCATGGAAATGCAGCTTTGCACAAACTTAATAGAAACCCAAACTCTGAGGTGAGACTGTCTTGGCTTCCTTCAGAGAGGTGGGTGTCCAAGATGGAGGGAGATAAAAAAGCCACAGATGCAGCAGTCAGGCCCCGGGCAGTTGATGTTCCAATCCGGGCCACTCCTCAAAAAGGCAGGCAGCAACTAGAGCAGGGCACAGTGTAAAGACATGTGGCCCAAGAGGGGCATGAAGGACCATGGAACTCTAACCCGGGAAGTGGGGGCACCAGTGACACCACCAGCTTGGTTTTCAACTATCTGGGGGCTATAGGGTAGATGGGGGTAGATGGTGTGCTGAGGCCACCATGAGGATTGATGGGAGGGACACGCAGGGGACAGCTTGGGTTTATGACAAAGGAAATGCCAGACAAACAAAAGTCCTTCAAGTCAAGGCTGTCCGAGAGAGAGGGATCCTGGGAGCAGTGGGCCCAGGATGTGAAGGGGCTCCAGGAGAAGCTGGAGATAGGTTGTGCCAACTCCTGCACCCATGGAAGCTGAGGAACCCCCATCCCTTCATCTCCTAGGAGCTTAGGAAACCAGCACAATATCTGCTCCCCCTGCCCTCCCCCTCCGTATACAGCTGGCCCTCGAACAAATGGGCCCATGGATGCACTTATAACACTTTTTTTTCCAATAAATACTTTGGAAGTTGGCAACCATTT